TTGACCTGGAAGGTTCCGTCACTCGTCGGGCAGAGCAGTGTGATTTAATGGCGGCGCCTACTACGCCAAGTCCGGAGGACTTGGCGTAGTAGCCGCCGCCATTTTAAGACATGGTGGAGGCTATTATGCCGACGTCGCATAAAAGCCTCCGCCATGGCTTATATAGAGTTTAAGGCGCTAAGGCAGCTAAGCCATGGCGGCGGCGAGTATGCTGAAATCGGAGGATTTCGGATTTCCGCATACTCGCCGCCGCCATGGCTTAGGGTTGAAGGTAGACTGGTACAGAGTGAGTCAGGCAGGCCATTGAAACCAGTCCTTGCTGCTTCTTCCAGTTGCAACAGTTGCAAGCTCGTACAGAGTCATACTCAGGCTTGGCCGAGTGCTTTGAGGCTGCGGTCAACACTCGTGGAGTTCTTGCATGCGCAGGCAGCGGGGGGGATCCAGGATTGCCAGCGAGCGGTGATGTTCCTCCAGGAGCGCGAAGCAGAGGCAGCAGAGCAGTTGGCTGCGGAGGCGCTCGCCAAGCGCTCGTTGTCTGTTGCGGCCAGGGCCGCATCAGATGCTCAGCATTTTGACCCCAGTGAGCAGGACACGGACACGGAGGATCAAGTCTGAGGTTCTTGCAACCGGGTTGTGGTGTTCAGCACCGGGTTGTTCGCGTGACGCCGGCCTTTGGCACCGGCTTCCTTTCAACAACTGGTGTTTGACACCGGGTCCGTGCCAATCTTGGCACAGGCCAGGGTCTTAGCACCAGGTGTTTGGCACCTGCTTTTTGCAAGCGGGTGTTCGGCACCGGGTGTATGGCACCTGTCGGGGACCAGTTCGTGATCTCAGCAGTGATTAGCCACCTGATTAGCCCTGATTAGTGTTAGCATTAGTTTCAGGCTTCAGGTCTCACGTGTGTTGTCTGATCATGGCTTTGCAAAAGTTTTAATTAAGACACCTGCCTGCCAGAGTGAACAAGGCCCAAAAAGAACGATTTGCAGTGCGTGGTATTTGCCGCTTTGCCGCTTTGCCTCTTTGCAAGCATAACTACAGCATATAAATAAGGCTTGTGAAGCCCCGTCTTAATTGGCCCAGCCCTTCGCAGGGCTTCAAGCCGAGTACGGGAGCTACAGCAACTACTTCAAGGAAGTGGTGAAGAAGGAGAACCAGAGCAAGCACCAGAAGTTCCTTGCCGGCAGAAAAGTGTGGATTCAGCAGCATGGTGACACTCAAGGTCGCACCAAGCTGAAGAACAAGAAGGAGCTTCTTGCCGCAACCAGGGAGCTCAAGCTGGAGCGCAAACTCGGCGGAAAGTTCGAAAGGCCACAGAAGTCTTTTGTTACGCAAGACGGGTGGAACCCCAGCATCCACGGCGGCGAGTACGACAAGTCGAAAGAAGTCGAGGAGGACATCTTTGGCAAAATCATGAAGGGTGTGTGGGTCAGTACCGCGCCGGCGGGCGTCTTCAAGTTCAAAGAGTTTGACGAAAGGGCCATTCGTGATATCACGACGGACCACCATGCAGACGACCAGCTCTTCGGGGAGGAAGCCTTTGAGCGGAAGAAGAAAGCAGCTTTGGACGTGGTTGACGCTGCTACCAAAGCCAGGGAGAGCACAGCTGTTAAGGGCAAGGAGATGTCCATGGCCAGCCTTTTGCAG